AAGATTAGATGAGATCCATAAACTACTTAAGATAATCTTGGCATAAATAAAATGATAATTGTTGTTCCAAGTAGAAGTTAACGTCATCTCTCTTAAGGGCACTCAATTGGTCCTGAGACAAAGAACACACAGGCCTAGTGATGGCAGGAAACAATTATGAAAGTAACGGTGCGTACTAGTACCCTCAAGAATGACTGCAGTTAACATCATCCAGGGAACTGGTAGCCTCTCCCCTACAAAGATGATTGTTGATCCTTTGTTTAAAAATCTGCACAGTCTAAAAGCCATTCCTAGGGTCATATGCAGTCCCTAGTAGGCACTCTGTAAGTGTCTACTGAATGAATGATTGCTGATGAATGAACTCTTGTCTGACCTGTCATTCCTGCGGAAATGGACAGTATTATTGTGAGGCATCTGACCTCATTAGCAGGCCACAGGGCAGCTTTGACACATTGGCTCCATTGGTTGGCTTGTAGATCAACGTCCAACAGGACTACGTGCTCATTTACACACAAAGTTGGTAGGGAAAGAGTATTCCAATAGTAACTTTGTTTGCCTCCCTTTGGCAATTTGTGTACTCACACCCACGTGTTCTCCCTTCCCAGAAGAGAAATAAACAAAGCTGAGAAGGACAAGCCCAAGCTCTCTAGCTTTCCACTTCTTTGCATAACCAGCTAGAAAAACATTTGAGCTCAATTTAAGAGGCTCCCAGGTCCCTGGATAACGATCTTATACAAACGAGTGTGTCCTGGATATTCATCTTCTCTTTCCCCTGATTGCAGCCTGGTTCTCTGGCCCCCTAGCAACTATAAGTCATTTTGTTCCCAGGGGCTCTGCCACTCCCCACCCCATTCCCATAAAAAAGAGTGGGCCTTGATTCAACTCTGTCAGGTAAACTGGACAGGCAGCCTGGAGCACAGGAGATAAGAGGAGGTAATAACTGGTGGGTTGGGCAAGAACTGTTTTATTTACCAGCACCATCAGAGAAGAGCTATTTTGAGTCAGGTGGGCACTGGGGGAGCAAGAAGGGTGGGACCAGTCAGTAAATAAATGAAGCTAGTTGGATGGAGGCCATAGCAAACTTGGGAAGTAACATCAAACCCTTGTCTAAAAATGGCGCCCCTCCTTAGCTCCAGTCTACTGTTACCATGGGAGACTAGTGGCACTAGATATTGAGATTTTTCTTTTCTTTTTTTTTGAGACAGACTCTTACTATGTCGCCCTTGGCAGAATGCCGCTGCATCACAGCTCACAGCTCATGAGCTCAAACTCCTGGGCTAAAGCAATTCTCTTGCCTCAGCCTCCCAAGTAGCTAGGACTACAGGCATCCACCACAACACCCAGCTATTTTTGTTGTTGTTGTTGTAGTTGCCATTGTTGCTTGGCAGGGCCGGGCTGGGTTCAAACCTGCCAGTCCTGGTGTATGTGTCTGGTACCCTAGCTGCTGAGCTACAGGCACTGGTTGATACTGAAATTTTTCAAGAGCAGTTTGAAATGCAGATTTTTATTTGATATCTTTCTAAACTCTAATGATGGAAACTAATTTTTAAGGTGTTAAACACTTTTTTAAAAGTATATGTCTACATGTGCCCCCAATTTGTGACCTAAGATGAATATGGGGCCACTTGGGATTGGGATATAAGAGTTTTTGACCCCACTCCTATAGTAGGAATGAAGCTCTGCACTGGGGACATCAGTGGCAGGTTTTCCTCATGGCCACAATATCTAGGAAGGAGCATTCTGGTAATTACTTATAGAAGTAAAGGCACAAAGGGACCTCTGCTTCACCCTGAAGAATTAGACAAAAAGCAGCTCTCCCCACTCTCATCTGGTACCTGTTAACTTGTGCTTGTTGGGACTGCAGCCTCTGGGCCTTTGCTCAAGGAATGCACCCTCTCCCCCAAATGTCTACCCACATTTGCCTGGTTAATTCTTCAAGACTCAGACCATCTCTTTGGGCAATTTTTCAGGGACATCTCCCCTTCACAGGCTGGGACG